CTGGAAACATTGAACCATTACTAACTTTTTACTAGTAACTTTGAAAACAATTAATTTAGTAGACAGAAAAAAACAAATGCTCTTAATGGAGTGATCCTTACAATAGCCATGTCCTTCCACTCGCTTCTAGAAGGTTTAGCCTTAGGAGTTCAAGTAATGTAATTTCTTTCGAAGTTTTTGAATTGGTTTACTGTTTTTTAGTACTTACATTATACTAATAATGTGACAAAAACGAAGAGTAGCAAATTGTTTGGTCTGTCAAGACAGACGTTATTATTAAGCATTTTAAAATTAAAAAAAAAAACATTTTTGTCTGTATTTTAGCAAGGCTATAACGAAATCCTCTCCTTGTTTGTGTCACTGATTCTTCATAAAGGTATTGAAGCGTTTAGCGTCGGACTACAAGTTTGTCGTTTAAACCCGCAGCGTTTGCCAATCGTTGTAATTACGATTATTGTATTTTCTCTGATGACTCCAATAGGCTCTTTTCTTGGGATTTTCATTAATGTACTCATTACACACTTATTGTCACTTTACATTCTGTGCTGAAGAAACTTTTTGGCTCCTAACTATTACAGATACAAAAATAAGAGGAAGTATCTCTTCCATATTTTTTAAAGTACAATTCAACTGCTATGGCACTCAATGAATAATCTTCAGGCTGCGGATTTTAATCAGGTGGCCAAAAGCGGTACAATTGTTGTTATCGAAGCCATCGCGGTAGGAACTTTTGTGTACGTCACCTTCCTTGAGGTTTGGTGCTACTTGTTTCCACCTACAACTTTCATTAGTCATGTTTTCTAGTTTCACGTTCCCGAAGTCTTACCAATACTCGCTTACTTACTGCTGTCCATTAACTCACAGTACAGAAAATTATTCCAAAAGTTCATTTACGACAGAAAAAAATATATAAAATGGGGCCAGTTAGGTTGCAAAATAATTACCGAAAAACTCATGTTTTTTAAATTTTCAATTGCAGTCAGGGTTTTTGAAAAAAACTTTGACAAAAACAGCATGCAGTTTTAAAGACACCGATGAGACAGTGACAAACAGCGAATTCATTCTGATTTGGTACCATAAGCGCCACTGATATTCTAATTTCCCATTGAGCCCAGAGATGCTAACAGTTTAAGACAAAAAAATTAGTATACCATTGATCATACACCTTGTTAAGTAGCTTTAAACCCTCACCGTGGAATCGACGTATCAAGAGAAGCACTATAAATGAAAAGATTTTTGACATAAACCACTGAAGCTTGAGAGTCCGTAAAAGATGTGTTTCTAACTTGGCCACTGAGTCGTTAAACTCTAAGCAACTATTAAAATCCGGATTAAAATCACGAGATACGACACTAGTGAGGTAACAGCAGTACAATTTGTAGGAACTGTTGCGAGTTGAAACTACAAGATTTGAACAGCATTCTACTCAGGGTATTATCACATTACTCGGCTACACAAGCGCGGCACTGTTTTTTAAAACTTTATAAATTCCCAGTTACCACTTTCTCTATCTTTATCAACTTTCTTGCTTTCCATTTATTCAAAACACTTAGGCCAAATAAAATTTAAGAATTGCAGCGACTTTCGCTTATTCTCAATTTATACTACAATACTCGGCAGGGGTTTGATATGCTTTGCGGTTATAACATTAATTTTTTTCCTTAATTACTGGAATTAAGATTTGATTATATAACAGAATCAATGTTCCTGTAGGTGATAGCCGTCGAACGAGCGAATGAGCACTCCAACATACAACAGTTAATCGCAGTAATAATAGGGTTTTCTATCATGGCAGCGTTTCAGTATGCAGAGCAGTTTATTCGTATTCAGGCTTAGCAGACTTAGTGTTAATATAAGTAAATAAAAGAAATCTTTGCAGATACATTCAACTATTACCTCATTCTTTTCATTTATTATTCTCATATTTCCTTCTAACAGTGCTTTCGTCACACATTTTCTTTCATATTTCGTGCCGTTGTTTTTCCAAGTTCATGTTCCATCATCTTTCATCCGCCACTTTTGGATGACTTCTCTCACTGCCCTAGAAAATACTTTATACTTCTGTAATGTATGTATACATCGGTAAAACCTTACTTCCACTTGTTTTATTTATAATAACTTCTCGTAAGAAAGATGCACGTGTCAGGGAAACCTTGGGTATTTAACTGTTAAATTAAAAATTTTTGGATACCAAACTCTGTTACTGATGAAATGCTGTATTGGTTATAGAAGAATCAATAATACACAAATTTTTTCATTAGGTTTTGAAATACATGTGTGCTGCGTATACTTTGCCATTATCTGTCACTCATGCGTCAAAAATCCGTTATTTCTTGATCAGCTAAAACTTTTAAACTTCTTTTGCTGAGACTGTGAAGTTATCATGTTTATACCCGACAGAAGGACAGGAAAAATTTTTGAAATCCGCTCGCCACTAATGTTAAACTGTCATCTATCATATCATTGAGTATTTGACCTGTGAATACTGTAGTCTGTTGTCCTTCTATTAAATCTGTAAATTCTTGGTTTGTTCAATGAAGCTCCGGAAGGCTGCATTTATTGTAAACACATGGTAGCTGAACTTAAAAAATTGTTTCTTTACGAGTGTTTGCCTATTATCAGCAATAAATACAAGGCTGTTTTTGTAATTGTTCTCAAACAAGTTCTATCTTATAAATTTTATTTGGTTCTTACGATGATTTGGTTTCCAAAATTCAAAATAAATTTTTTAAATGACGTAAAAAGCTAGTTAAGAAGTCTTCTTGAACGGTCGTTATGAAAAATGTTGTGAACTACTAATTAAATGGTCCCAATAACTTCTTTCCTTGCAGCATTAAAAAGCAGAAATATAGTTAATAGCATAGACTGGCACTGTTGCCATAATACGAGAAATACCAAAGTTAATGAGGCAGAGCAAACTAATATCGTTCTTGGAGAACTCTTTCAAAGAAGATAGTTAGTTTTATGCTTTTGTGGATGCTTTCAGAAAGTCTTTATCAGCCGTTATGCAGCTTAAAAGTGAAGGACCTAGAAGTTATCATTTGGTTCTTATTTTTAGCAAGAGTCACCTTTATCCAATTAGAGGTATGATGATATCGCGTTTAGAATTACTCGCTTCTTTAACTGGCTTGATATAAGTTGAGTAGTAAAATCAAAGAAGCAATGCATATGGTTTGATATAATGACGGGGGAGGGAGAAAGAGTCGTGAAATTAGATAGGGTTTCCTAGCGCTCCGTAGTTATCCTCAAACTTGGGTAATTAAACTTTCTATCACCAACGTAATGTTGCCTCGAATTAGTAACAGATAAGCATGCTAACGCACGTACGCAGACGTAGCAGCAGTAATAAAAGATAGAAATAAAGGGTGTAACTTAAGAAGTACTCGTCCACTCGTCTTCACCTTTAAGTCAACACTAAATTAGAAAAATATGACTTTTACTAACTGTTAGTAAACAGTGACCTATTTATGCGGCATCTGTCGCCCAACCCTCTGCCAACATTGGGTCTGCAGTCGATGCGCACTGAAATAAAGAAGAGAGGCTGAGCAACCAATATAAAGGGCAAGCACAGAATATGGCGTCTTAACTAAGTTTTTTTGAGGAAATAAATGATGCATTAAGGCCTAATAATGAGAAGCAGATTTTATTAGCTAAGAGTAGATTTTGTTGCTTTTAGTTTCTAAGAAAGATTGAAGAGTTGCAAGAAAGAGTCAACAACGTTTGTCCTATGAGACATGTTACGACGAAAGCAAGTGCAGAACCTGATTAATTCATTTGTGCGGTCTAAGTGAAGCTGTCAAAGTTATTAGATCCTATGACATTTTCCAAGTTTCTGATTGTCGAAAAGCTCCTATCGTAATTAGATTAGACAAAAAAAGAGTAGAGGACACACTTAGCTTGTCACCAGAAAAGGTGATTCTAGATTTGTAAAGACTACAGACATTTCTCGAAAACAAAGGTAATAAATTTTGAAGAAAGTCAGATTTCAGGTGAAGAAAAAGAAATCGTCTTTTATGAATAAATGTTTTTGATAGGATAAACGCGATCCAGATATTCACAAAAGCAGACACAATTAGAATTGCGGATAGAATAGAGTGTTAGGATAAATTCCTTTCACGTCAATATATCGCTTGAACAGTGGCTGGAAGTAGAGGAGACTCGTTGCTGGAGCTGACAATCATAAACAGTTCTTCAAAGAATCAGCGGAAGAAGAGTAGAAATCTCATCAAATCAAAATTCTCAACCAGAATGATTTCCATTGAACTCGCCAAGGTAACTGCAGACGTGGCTACGCTCAGCAGAACGCAGAACTTTTGCGGCAGTAAAACCACTTTTGGAACGTCTAAAAGAGTTGTTGCTTCCAAAACTTTTAGGGCAAAGCCTGCATACCTCAGATTCTTCGTTTATTACCACAATGTTCTTGGAGTATCAACAAGACAAATTGGACTTCGGACGAATTTATCGCCTTATTTCCTCCTTGTGTTGGTTTAATAATGTAGATGTGGTGCACTAAAGCTGAACAAACAGCTACTACGCAAAGACTAATTCTCAGTTTTATGAAAATCTTATGCTTCAGAAAACTCATGTGATATTGTTGAAGCTGGATCATGAATCAGTATTTATGAAAAGGGCAATAATTTTTACAAAATTACTAAGAAATCTTCAAGTGACTCTACACATCCACTACGTGCACTTAAACTAGCTCATTCAGTTGCTCATGAAATGAAGCATTTACGAGACCTTCTGTTATAATCAGGAAGAAGGTTAATCTTTTTACTGATGGTAAAAATCCCGGGCAAAGCTTCCTAAAGTCGGTTTTTTATGGTATCACCTGGTTTATCGCCATAAGTTGACAAAATGCTTCATCCTTTCTGAGGGAACGGTAACTGACGTATTGAACAACTATTGCCTATCGTAAATTGCTTAATAAAGTCATTAACTTAGGTTTCCATGGGAAGGGGTCAGAACTTGTACAGCAGTTGGTACTGTCGTACACAGCGTAATGGAGTCAAAATAGGTGATGCGAACGATTAGAAAGCGTTGAATGATCAGGTAAAATATAATTAATCAGCCTCTTACCTCTGTAATAAAACAATAAAAACTAGGCTTTTTTTGAAATGTGGCTATGAGAGAGACCTAATCTATTTGATCAACTTAGAAATCTGATTTTCAGGTTTGGTTCTATTAACCAGTAAGTAAATAAATACTTATTTTTTGCAGTTCTCATCTAATAACTCATTTCGTAAAGATTTTTTATTAATAGTAGTCTTTTATATTCCTTTTTTTTTTTACTTTGCGCCCTCTCATTCATGGTTTCAACTACCTTCTGCGTAGTATTTTTTCTACTGGAGACTAAATCGACACTAGAGGTTGAAGTTTTCCAGAATTCTAATTTAGAATTAAGAGTTCCTTAGAACACAAGATAAGTTTTGAAAATTTTTATCTTTGGTATTAGTAATTGTACTGTAAAGGATACAGTAAATTTAAAAGGGTTTAGTAGAGCAAATAGAAGAATTCTACTCTTAAACAAGGTACTGTAAGGGAAGAAATAAGTGTCTCGACAGGATCTTCGTAGACGAAAGTCAGAGGTCTTGATTTGACTATAGCCTCAGTCTCTTATGGCTATAAAAGCGTTTAAAACAGTTCAGGAAACTAGTTGTAGTCACGTTATGGATCACTTCTTAATGGATATTTCGTGTTACTAAACAGGTGAAAAAAAACCCATCTTTTATCGAGCTACTGACATATTTATCCTATTTATCTTATATCGGACCAAAGTAGTCTAAACCTACTACATCAAATGGCCTGCATCGAGTGCTCTTAAAGGCTGGTAGTGAGGGCACTTTGGATAGGGCATATGGTCGTCCTTAATACCTTTTGCAGATTATGCACTGACGCAGGTATTTCTTTACTGTGGCTCAACTTTTAGTTATCCACCATCGTTATCCTACTTAATTCATTGTCGCCTGTAATCGAATGTGCAAAGATCTGAGA